ATGTGAACTGAGTCCACCCTCCATCTGCTTCAGTAGTCATACACCCGTGAAGATCCAGGTTGGAATTGATCTTCAGTAACCCATGCTTGTCATAAGAGGCTACTAACGGGGTCGGGTGGTCAGGCTCGCTGACTGGGTTGATACTGTCATCGTATCCCAATTGCGTAGATCGATGTTCATGCTGTTGATCCCTGGTCCAGAATCGATTATTTACAGACCGCCGCCATATAGCTGGAATATTGCCGAGTGTGGCGTAAAACTCACTCACTTCAGTGGTCACATATGAGTGAATTTTACGAGTTCCAGTCCTTTGCTCCATACTAAGCTGTTTAGCTTAGTGCATATCGTGTGAAATTGGACAAGTTTTCTCAAGATATGTTTAGATATGTTAGAGAAATTATAATTAGTAATTTTTCACACTAAGGATACTGGAAGCGATCTAACATGAGTTCCCAAATTGATGTCTTAAATTTTTTTTTACAGTTATGGCCCTTGAACAATGCTTTCCAAATTCCTGCAAACTGCACAAAGGGGGGACAAGTGTTTTGCAGAAACTGTTTGAGTTGCTTTAACTAAAGTGAGTGAGTGAGTGAGTTGAGGTTTACTAAGCTTATAGCAATATTCCAGCAATATCGTGGCGGGGGCAATCGAACCCGGGTCTTCGGCATGACAAGCGAAGACTTTAACCACTGGGCTAGTAGATAATTATCCAGCTTTTGTTCCAGAAAAGATGCTGTCATTTTTGTTCCTGAGTTACTTGCCAGGCTGAATGTTTTTTTATATGGAGAATACACAGACAGTGCCTTAAAGGAGACGAGTATTCTGTGAAACTACTTAAATTACATTAAGTCACTGTAGACTGAGTTACAAAATTGGTGATATGATAATTATTTATTTCCAGTATATTGTGTATATTTATTTCACATATAATATTTTTCTGATGTTAAAAAGTGACCCAAGTACAAGTCACTTCTTAAAGCTTTGATTGATAGCTTTTTTATAGTTAACTTGAGATAGTTGACATGAACTTCCAATATTGTATTTATGAAAAACAGTTCTAATGTGCCCCTGGTTGGGGACAGTGATAAAAAGGTTTCTTGTTTCAGCTCTTTTCAACATTATCTCTTCTCTTTTCTTTTGTATTTAGTGCTATGACTTTCTCTGTTCCAAAATGACAATGTAATGAATGTGTGCCTTTGAAATGAAACCACTTTGTACTTACAATGTATATTAATGCAGACTTGTTCTCGTCACTATATGGCTGGAATAATGCCGATGTGACGTAAAGCCCAACTCAACTCAACTCAACTCTTTTGTATGTGGGAATGGAAGCGAGGAGGCTGCCTGTATGTGCTCTCTTTTTTTGTAGTTTTAGGCAGGAGTGTTGATTCAGATATCACCAAACTTGACATAGCTGTCCAGACATGTTTAATCTCAGTAGATAGAGGAGTTGCATGCGCGATTAGGGTTAGGGTCATGAGAGTTGTTGCCTCACCTGGGATCTGGTGATAAGTTAGGTGTAACAACGCAATAATTAGGTAGGTGTGGTAACAATGATTAGGTAGGTGTGACAACACAATGATTAGGTAGGTGTAACAACACAATGATTAGGTATGTGTAACCACACAATATCTGGGTAGGTGTAACCACACAATAATTAGGTAGGTGTAACCGCACAATAATTAGGTATGTGTAACCACACAATGATTAGGTAGGTGTAACAATGCAATAATTAGGTAGGTGTAACAACACAATGATTAGGTAGGTGTAACAATGCAATGATTAGGTAGGTGTAACAATGCAATGAATAGGTGTAACAACAATAATTAGGTAGGTTTAACAATGCAATGATTAGGTAGGTGTAACAACACAATGATTAGGTAGGTGTAACAACGCAATGATTAGGTAGGTGTAACAACAATGATTAGGTAGGTGTAACAACACAATAATTACTTAGGTAGGTGTAACAACAATAATTAGGTAGGTTTAACAATGCAATGATTAGGTAGGTGTAACAACACAATGATTAGGTAGGTGTAACAATGCAGTGATTATGTGTAACAATGCAAAGATAAGGTATGTGTAATAACACAATGAGTGTGTCACACCCTGGATCACTGTGATGCCCTATACACTACTAGACATTATGAAGGTTATCTGATGCGTTCAATCCCAACTGCACACATGTTTAGGTAATACTAAATTGTGTTGAAACGTTATTTTATGTTATAATGGTTTAACATGTACATGTATTTAGCCCTGTGTTTCATGTCACTAAAATTACCCAAATCCTATTTCTTCCTTTCTTTCCTTAATGAAAGTATTTTTAGCACTACCAATGGTATATGTGACCAAGACGTGTAGAGATGCTGTCCTGTGTAGCTGTAATATTGCTTAGTTCATGGAAAAGGTTGCAAATGAAAGCAGCAAAAGTCGTGTTAGTGTCTGTTGTTGGCCCTTACCTTGGCCTCATTTGCACCTCACTGCATCAGGCATGCTTGTTCAAAACAAGATAGGTTGATTTAAAAACTTATCAGATATCAGTGTGCTGTGGTTAGAATGTCAAATGATCCAAGCATTTGTTCTTATGGCATATATCACGCCGAAGACCCGGGTTCGATTCCCCACATGGGCACAATGTGTTAAGCCCATTTCTGGTGTCCCCCGCCGTGATATTGCTGGAATATTGCTAAAAGCGGCGTAAAACTAAACTCAGTCAGTCAGTCAGTCTTATGGCATATATATGGGAAATGAAATTGATTGTGTGACATTGGTGCCCTTCGTTACTATGGTGGGCAGTGGTCAAAGCAATGATTTGTTTTATATATTTTTGTTTTCATGACACGTTAGACTTAGACTGCATTTTCTGTTTCCGGAGTTGGGTGTATATTTAGATGAACCTTTATACAGATCAGATTGGTGGTGTACTGTTGCATGTGACTTTAGTATCTCGTTGCTGCCGATGTTGGTTCGTTTTATAGGTCTTCACGAGTCAGGGCCCCGTTCCTCAAGCGATCGTAGCGCTAAGATGATCGTAACTCCCATACTTTAACATAGACTTACGTCTGTTGTAGCGCTAAAATGATCGTAACTCCCATACTTTAACATAGACTTACGTCTGTTGTAGCGCTAAGGTGATCGTAACTCCCATACTTTAACATAGACTTACGTCTGTCGTAGCGCTAAAATGATCGTAACTCCCATACTTTAACATAGACTTACGTCTGTTGTAGCGCTAAGGTGATCGTAACTCCCATACTTTAACATAGACTTACGTCTGTTGTAGCGCTAAGGTGATCGTAACTCCCATACTTTAACAAAGACTTACGTCTGTTGTAGCGCTAAGGTGATCGTAACTCCCATACTTTAACATAGACTTGAGACTGTCGTAGCACTGCGATCACTTTGAGGAACGGGGCCCAAGTGATTAAGCTCAACGGCATAGTTGATTGGACATGGTTTAAACATATTTATTCATTTAATCATATGGGGCGGTATGGTAGCCTAGTGGTTAAAGCGTTGGCTCGTCACGCCAAAGGCCCGGGTTCGATTCCCCACATGGGTAGAATGTTTGAAGCCCATTTCTGATGTCCCCCGCCGTGATATTGCTGTAATATTGCTAAAAGCGGCGTAAACCCATACTCACTCACTCATTTAATCATGACGGGATTGGCAAACAAGTATAAAACATGCTTATATCAATGACGCTCCCTAACAATGATACAATAGTATTAGTAATAGTGATAGATAGTGATGTACACATGAACTGGGTGGAAACATAATGGAGATCTACAGGACAATACTGACGGTATGATGTGTGACAATTTACAAAAGAATGGTTGAAGGCAAATAAACTCACTTTAAAATGTAGTAGCTGAGTCAAGGCAAGGCACAGCATGTACAATAAAACTAGATTAGGTAAATTGCGAGAATCTCTGGGGAGATATGATATGGTTATGTACAGATTTTAATAGTGACAGATTTACCTGTTCTGATGAGCCAGAATGACCATATAAGATTGATGACAAATTAAACCCTGTACCAAAGAAGTATACCTGTGATCTTATGTCGTTAAATGTGGGACAGATGAGGAAGAAATGAAGCCCATCTTCGGTGTGATGCCCGCAGTTACATTCAGGACTATCAGATATATATGTGGTAAACTTATCTCCATTCAGATCTCTACAGTTGATTGCATATCATCATATCCAAATTGTTTGAATCAGTTCTCATGATGTCGATCACTAGATTGTCTGGTCTAAACTCGGGATATTTACAAGCTAACGTCTGGAATATTGTTGAAGGTTAAATTAAACTGTCGATTGCACGACGGAGGAAAGCCTTCAGTTAAAACTAAAGTTCAGTGCTGACAAATCTAGAATCATGCACCTTTGATGCATATGTATGTTTAAAAGGTGGAAATAAGTCATTCCAAGGACCACACTAACGTGTATCACGTAACATGGATATTTGAGGTGTTATAAAAGTTATATTAGACCGCCCACGATGACACAACCGCCCAGTCGAACACTGACCCTCACATTCAGGACTATCATAAACGGGCTCAGGGAACATAAACAAACATCGAGGGTACATCAACCCATGCCCCCCTCGTAACCCGTGAACAACTTATAATAACCACGCCCTAAAGACACACGCACAAGCACACGCACACGCACACGACACACAAGCCTGTTAGTGTGCTACAACAGGCCATAATACCCACGCAAACTAAAATACATGTACAGCAGGCGCTTCGAACATTTATATCTGAAGCTATAGGCCGTTTGTTCTCGTGTGAGAGGAGCCAAGCACACTGGGATATCCAGACAACACAAGCGTTCTTATAAACGAGGTTCGACTATACATATCATATTTGTATACTAGTTTCCTGAAGCAAAAGAGTACAGGGCAAGGCGTAGACTTACAGAAAATATACGGTGGCAAGTTATTGGCGTGTGTGACGCGGGGATCTGAGGCAAGACGCTATCCCATGATCCATGTCGACGAACTGTGCCGGCAATGGGGAGCGGGAGTCCGAGTCTCGGTACCATCAGAAACAACATCTGTGTGCTGCAGGATTGATGGAACGTCGTCTGATCAGACTTCCTCTCCTCACAAAAAAGGCATAGTCAGGATGGTCAAGACGCATCTTGAGGACATGGCCTATGGTTCATTGGTCTGATGAAAGTCTTCCGACGGCATTGTGGCGTATGGAAACGTAGTAACAAGGCATGTCACCAGTATGATCCATGCAACTGAACCCTTTGTGGTGGCCCAATGATGGTGCTGAGTTTGTATATTCCTCTGAGAATCTTCTCTGACTATAAGTAAATTGTAACCGTATTTTAATTTCAGTTTTGTTTTTGTTTTAATCAGAATGTAATATGTTACAGCGACCGTATTAATTGGTTTCCAAAGCATTTACATCATCTAGTGTTTTCGTGCGTAGCATACAAAAGTGGGTTGTGCTCGATTAATGCTCTGGTACTCTGATTACAAGTGCTGCACAGGTAGGATTGTTTCCCTGAATATTTCTAAATTCAGCTCATAATCCGATCCTGTTTTAGTAATATAATTAATGCACGTGTTCCTGATGTAAGGTCAGTCAGTGCATGGATCATAAGCAGGCCTCTGTTGTTGACCAGCTTGATATGGGGCGGTAGGGTAGCCTCGTGGTTAAAGCGTTCGCTCGTCACGCCGAAGACACGGGTTCGATTTCCTACATGGGTATAATGTGTGACGCTCATTTGGGGTGTCCCCCGCCATGATATATTGCTGGAATATTGCTAAAAGCAGGGTAAATCTAAACTCACTCACTCACTCACTCACTCACAGCTGGATATAGAAAGATATTCCTGGATAGCAGTGCAGTTCCTCTGACATGAAAGTAGTCCGTGAATGTAGTGATACAGAAACATTCAACCCTAACGAATACTAGGGACACAACCTTCACTGGGCGACATACACGTTTCCTGGGAACAAATCTAAACAGGAAGACCAGCACAGGTTAATAGGCACACATTCTACACTAGAGTCCCTACAGTTAATAGGCACACATTCTACACTAGAGTCTCCACAGGCTACTGGGGACACATTCTACACTAGAGTCCCTACAGGCTACTGGGGACACATTCTACACTAGAGTCTCCACAGGCTACTGGGGACACATTCTACACTAGAGTCCCTACAGGCTACTGGGGACACATTCTACACTAGAGATCTCCACAGGCTACTGGGGACACATTCTACACTAGAGTCTCCACAGGCTACTGGGGACACATTCTACACTAGAGTCCCTACAGGCTACTGGGGACACATTCTACACTAGAGTCCCTACAGGCTACTGGGGACACATTCTACACTAGAATCTCCGCAGGCTACTGGGGACACATTCTACACTAGAATCTCCGCAGGCTACTGGGGACACATTCTACACTCTCCGCACTACTGGGGAATCTCCGCAGGCTACTGGGGGGACACATTCTACACTAGAATCTCCGCAGGCTACTGGGGACAAATTCTACACTAGAATCTCCGCAGGCTACTGGGGACACATTCTACACTAGAATCTCCGCAGGCTACTGGGGACACATTCTACACTAGAATCTCCGCAGGCTACTGGGGACACATTCTACACTAGAATCTCCGCAGGCTACTGGGGACAAATTCTACACTAGAATCTCCGCAGGCTACTGGGGACAAATTCTACACTAGAATCTCCGCAGGCTACTGGGGACACATTCTACACTAGAATCTCCGCAGGCTACTGGGGACACATTCTACACTAGAATCTCCGCAGGCTACTGGGGACACATTCTACACTAGAATCTCCACAGGCTACTGGGGACAAATTCTACACTAGAATCTCCACAGGCTACTGGGGACAAATTCTACACTAGAGTCCCCACAGGCTACTGGGGACACATTCTACACTAGAATCTCCGCAGGCTACTGGGGACACATTCTACACTAGAATCTCCACAGGCTACTGGGGACAAATTCTACACTAGAATCTCCGCAGGCTACTGGGGACAAATTTCTACACTAGAGTCTACAGGCTAGGGGACAAATTCTACACTAGAGTCTCCACAGGCTACTGGGGACACATTCTACACTAGAATCAAAGGCTCTACACTACTAGAATCTCCGCAGGCTACTTCAAGGGACACATTCTACACTAGAATCTCCTACAGGCTACTGGGGAAACTGCTCTACACTAGAATCTCCATGATATCATCAAAGCTCTGAACAGACAACAAAACTGCCGTCGCAATGGTGTTGATCGATCAGTCAGCTGCATTCGATCTCATAGATCACGACATACTATTACAAGAGACTACAGTACAGCTATGGTGTGACCGGAGAAGCCCTATCATGGGTTCAGTCCTATATGTTAAAACAGAACACAGAGTGTGGCAATAAGATCTACAGTGTCTGAGTGTGCGGATATTCATTTCGGGGGTACCACAGGGCTCCGTTTTGGGGCCTGTTTTGTACTGTCTGTATTCAAAGCCGATGGGCAACATCTGCCAACTACATGATCTCTCCTATATGGTTTATGCGGATGATCAGCAGATGTACAGAGTTGTTCAACCTGGGATTTCTTGGACGCCCACTTCAAAAGCATTGGAAGCCTGTGTGTCAGATGTCATCGACTGGACAAGCTTAACAATATGCTTAAAGTCAATCAGGAAAAACTGAATTTATTATTTTCAGTCCCAAGAACCCTAAAGTTGACACCAGTGATATGCAAGTACAAGTTGGAGACAGCTCTGTTAAATCAGCTGTTTCTGTGAAGAACCTTGGTGTTCACTTCGACCACAAACTGACAATGGAGAGACAAGTCAATGCCATCGCCAAGTCATGCTACTTCCAGATCAAGAATATTTCAGCCATACGCAGATACATCACAGGAGACTGTTGTAAGACTCTAGTACATGCTTTAGTAACATCTAGACTGGATTATGGAAATGGTCTTCTCTGTGGACTACCTGAAACTCTCACCAGTCGTCTACAGAAGGTGCAGAACTGTGCGGCTAGACTCATTACCAAAACTGGCCGACGTGAGGAGATTACGCCTGTGAGAGAGAAGCTACACTGGCTTCCAGTCAGACAGAGATGCCAGTATAAGATCTTGATGTATGCTTATAAATGTATCCACGGTTTGGCCCCATACTATCTTCAGGAACTTGTTGTGCCATATCATCCAGCCAGGTCCTCTCAGATAAGAATATGAATCCCGACTCTGTCAACCAAAGACGTGTATAGTAACGTATGGCCACAGATGTTTTGACAGCATTTCAGCTAATCTTTGGAACAGTCTACCAATGAGCCTACGAAATTCATCCTCACTGGACATTTTTTAAGAAAGCTCTTAAAACTCGTCTTTTTAAAAGCTGCTTATTCAACATAATGTATCACTGATTTTATCACTGCGTACAATGTTACTCCTTGTATGTGTTTTACCATGTGTTAGATGTTTCATCTTTTAGCATCACTTGTATACCACCTGTATATCACCATACAGTATTTTATATGTTAAGCCCTTTAGAGTGTTTTTAAAATAAGCAAATAAGGCCATACAAATCTTAATGTGTATTATTATTATTATTATTATTACTGCGGACAAATTCTACACTAGAATCCCCACAGGCTACTGGGGACACATTCTACACTAGAATCTCCACTTGGGCTACTGGGGACAAATTCTACACTAGAATCTCCACAGGCTACTGGGGACACATTCTACACTAGAATCCCCACAGGCTACTGAGGGACACATTCTACACTAGAATCCCCACAGGCTACTGGGGACAATTTCTACATTAGAATCTCACAGGCTACTGGGGACACATTCTACACTAGAATCTCCACAGGCTACTGGGGACACATTCTACACTAGAATCCCCACAGGCTACTGGGGACACATTCTACACTAGAATCCCCACAGGCTACTGGGGACACATTCTACACTAGAATCTCCACAGGCTACTGGGGACAAATTCTACACTAGAATCACTAGGGACATCATCCTACACTAGCTCTCCACTGGGGACAAATTCTACACACTCCTAGAATCTCCACCCCACAGGCTACTGGGGACACATTCTACACTAGAATCTCCGCAGGCTACTGGGGACAAATTCTACACTAGAGTCCCCACAGGCTTCTGGGGACACATTCTACACTAGAATCTCCACAGGCTACTAGGGACACATTCTACACTAGAATCCCCACAGGCTACTGGGGACAAATTCTACACTAGAATCTCCACAGGCTACTGGGGACACATTCCTACACTAGAATCCCCACAGGCTACTGGGGACACACATTCTACATTAGAATCCCCACAGGCTACTAGGGACACATTCTACCTAGAATCCCCACAGGCTACTAGGGACACATTCTACACTAGAATCCCCACAGGCTACTGGGCTACACATTCTACATAGAATCCCCACAGGCTACCCCAGAGGCACATTCTACACTAGAACCTCCCCACAGGCTACTAGGGACACATTCTACACTAGAATCTCCACAGGCTACTGGGGACACATTCTACAATAGAATCTCCACAGGCTACTGGGGACACACTTCTACACTAGATTCCCCACAGGCTACTGGGGACACATTCTACATTAGAAACCCCACAGGCTGCTAGGGACACATTCTACACTAGAATCCCCACAGGCTACTGGGGACAATTTCTACACTAGAATCTCCACAGGCTACTGGGGACACATTCCTCACTAGAATCCCCACAGGCTACTGGGGACACATTCTACACTAGAATCCCAACAGGCTACTAGGGACACATTCTACACTAGAATCCCCACAGGCTACTAGGGGCACATTCTACATTAGAAACCCAGGCTACTAGGCTACAGTGACATTCTACACTAGAATCCCCACAGGCTACTAGGGACACATTCTACACTAGAATCTCCACAGGCTACTGGGGACACATTCTACACTAGAATCCCCACAGGCTACTGGGGACACATTCTACACTAGAATCCCCACAGGCTACTAGGGGACACATTCTACAGGCTACTAGGGACAAATCCCCACAGGCTACTAGGGGCATATTCTACACTAGAATCCCCACAGGCTACTAGGGGACACATTCTACACTAGAATCCCCACAGGCTACTAGGGGCATATTCTACACTAGAATCCCCACAGGCTACTAGGGACACATTCTACTCTAGAATCCCCACAGGCTACTAGGGGCATATTCTACACTAGAATCCCACAGGCTACTAGGGACACATTCTACTCTAGAATCCCCACAGGCTACTGGGGACAAATTCTACAATAGAATCTCCACAGGCTACTGGGGACACACTCCTCACTAGATTCCCCACAGGCTACTGGGCACACATTCTACATTAGAAACCCCACAGGCTGCTAGTGACACAGTCTACACTAGAATCCCCACAGGCTACTGGGGACAATTTCTACACTAGAATCTCCACACAGGCTACTGGGGACACATTCTACATTAGAAACCCCACAGGGGACAAAGTCTACACAGTCTACACTGCTGTACACTAGAATCCCCACAGGCTACTGGGGACAATTTCTACACTAGAATCTCCACAGGCTACTGGGGACACATTCCTCACTAGATTCCCCACAGGCTACTGGGCACACATTCTACATTAGAAACCCAACAGGCTACTAGTGACACATTCTACACTAGAATCCCCACAGGCTACTAGGGACATATTCTACACTAGAATCCCCACAGGCTACTGGGGACACATTCTACATTAGAATCCCCACAGGCTACTAGGGGCATATTCTACCCTAGAATCCACACAGGCTACTAGTGACACATTCTACCCCCCCACAGAATCCACACAGGCTACTAGGGACACATTCTACATTAGAAACCCCACAGGCTACTAGGGACACATTCTTCACTAGATTCCCCACAGGCTACTGGGGACACATTCTACATTAGAAACCCCACAGGCTGCTAGTGACACAGTCTACACTAGAATCCCCACAGGCTACTAGGGACACATTCTACACTAGAATCCCCACAGGCTACTAGGGACAAATTCTACACTAGAATCTCCACAGGCTACTAGGGACACATTCTACACTAGAATCCCCACAGGCTACTAGGGGCATATTCTACACTAGAATCCACACAGGCTACTAGGGACCCATTCTACTCTAGAATCCCCACAGGCTACTAGGGACACATTCTACATCTAGAATCCCCACAGGCTACTAGGGACACATTCTACACTAGAATCCCCACAGGCTACTAGGGGCATATTCTACACTAGAATCCCCACAGGCCACTAGGGACACAGTCTTCTCAGGAATGCCCACAGGCTACTAAACACATTGAAAAAGGATAAACACAAAATGCTATTTCCTACCTATCAAACCATTTCTACCAAAACCTATCTGGAACAATGAGATTTCAAGGAACCTACACATTAACCACATTTTCTCACACCTTTAGAGTTAGTGAGTGATTAAGTTGTGCCCGAAGCGATGCCAAGCTGTAGAAAACACCGCTGTCACTGCTTATTTTTTCAGTGAGGTATAATGTTATGTGGCATTTTATTCATGACTATATTCATATCAAATGTTTATGAAAATGAACTGTTTTTATATTGCGTCAATATAAATTCAAATTAATGTCTTTTCGGCCATCTGTATCAGCTCACCCAATCTACAAGGCTAAGGAAGTGATACCCGAACATAACGAAATATCAGTTTTCATACCATTGCACAGTCATTACAAGACACCCACCGAGTAGTTACTGGTATGACAAATCAGGAAGCAACAGCTGTTGTACTAGGCGCGATGAGTGTGAGTCCCAGCACGTCAGTACGTTGTATTGCCAGTGACAGTTTCTGTATTTCCAGGAACATTAACTTGACTCTGATAACTTTCTGGACACATAGGACACAGAGTCTACCACTGTGCCATGTATGTAGATCCGTGCTTCGGCTCCATGAGTGGATGTTTAAAATTAGTCCATAGAGCCCCTTAAACTCGACTTGGTCATACCGATACTTAAACCCAATCATAGTGCCTCTTAAATTAGATTTAGTCACAGTGCTCCTTAAATTCGACATGGCCATAGTGCCCTTTAAACCCGACATGGCCATAGTGCCATTTAAACCCGTGCCCTTTTTAAACCCGACTTGGTCATAGTGCCCTTTAAACCCGACATGGTCATAGTGCCCTTTAAACCCGACATGGTCATAGTGCCCTTTAAACCCGACTTGGTCATAGTGCCCTTTAAACCCGACTTGGTCATAGTGCCCTTTAAACCCGACTTGGTCATAGTGCCCTTTAAACCCGACTTGGTCAAACCCGACATGGTCAGTGCCCTTTAAACCCGACTTGGTCATAGTGCCCTTTAAACCCGACTTGGTCATAGTGCCCTTTAAACCCGACTTGGTCATAGTGCCCTTTAAACCCGACTTGGTCATAGTGCCCTTTAAACCCGACTTGGTCATAGTGCCCTTTAAACCCGACTTGGTCATAGTGCCCTTTAAACCCGACTTGGTCAAACCCGACATGGCCAGTGCCCTTTAAACCCGACTTGGTCATAGTGCCCTTTAAACCCGACATGGTGCCCTTTAAACCCGAGGTGCCCTTTAAACCCGACATGGTCATAGTGCCCTTTAAACCCGACTTGGTCATAGTGCCCTTTAAACCCGACATGGTCATAGTGCCCTTTAAACCCGACATGGTCATAGTGCCCTTTAAACCCGACTTTTAAAACCCGACTTGGTCATAGTGCCCTTTAAACCCGACTTCATAGTGCATAGTGCCCTTTAAACCCGACTTGGTCCGACTTGGTCATAGTGCCCTTTAAACCCGACATGGTCATAGTGCCCTTTAAACCCGACATGGCCATAGTGCCCTTTAAACCCGACTTGGCCATAGTGCCCTTTAAACCCGACATGGTCATAGTGCCCTTTAAACCCTTGGTCATGGTCATAGTGCCCCTTTAAACCCGACATGGCCATAGTGCCCTTTAAACCCGACTTGGTCATAGTGCCCTTTAAACCCGACTTGGCCATAGTGCCCTTTAAACCCGACATGGCCATAGTGCCCTTTAAACCCGACATGGTCATAGTGCCCTTTACACTCTTGATTAAATACAGTTTTAATGGATGAATAAAAACATAAAGATTTATTTTCTGAAAATACAGAATGCCAGCTTTGTTTTGAGTAAAACTTAATCCAGGGTA